CGTTAGCCGGCGAGCCGACTGGTTAGTAATGACCCATGCTTGAAGGAGTCTTCCCGAGGCTTTGCTTTGGGAGTGGCACGTCTATGAAGAGTCCTGGTCGAAGTACAGGTTGCCATCCTTGTCATTTTCGATTTGTATGGACTGTCTCAGCCTTGAGATTTTAGTGGCCTGTGCTGAATTGCAGAGCAATCTTACTCGTCGTTGATGCACAGGTGACTCCACGCCCATACGAGAGAGAACTTTTTGTAGCAGTTTCCCGCATAAAAAATGGCCACTAGTAGCTTGCCAGGCTCGCGCTTGATCAACCCCAGCTGGTGACTTGAGCCAACGACTGTGTTGATTCGTCTCCATGTTTTGTCTTCATGACCCCTCAGCACTATTGTCAACTTGGTTTCTCGTGTGCCAACGAGTGAATCTGTAGACGTCACAATTGTTAATGACACTCGTCTATCTTTTGGTGTGCTCGATTTTTTCTGTCTCGGTCCATCTTCCCCACCTTCTCGTAGCATCAGCGTCTTAACACCACGCTAAGTAATGGATAGTCTAGAGATCTATTGCGCTCAACGTCGTCGCGAAGGCGGTGTTCCAACTGCCTCACCTAATCAAAGACTGTTCCCATATGTGTTGTTCCCGTGTACACTCTACGGGAAAACAAAGCAACACCAGAAGTGAATGCTATGCTGAAAAACTTGTTAGCAGGGTTTTGCCTATTAAAAATAGGAGCAAAGGGCCTCACCGCGATGGTTCAGCATTTGGGCACTGGCAGGGCTTAGAAGAGGTGAACGAAACTGAAGAGGCACCGTGCTCATCTTTGTTAGTGATAAACGTGGAGGGTTTGTGATTATTCCTGACCCCCCAAGACTTCATCGCGTGACAGTATGGCGAAAGGTTGGCTTTGCCCTCAAACGATCAACGGAAGATTTCATTCTTGATGTAGACTTTCACAAATGCAGTTTACGGGATTCAGCGACACGTCAGTAGATCCATACTTGGCATTACGGAGTGTCCTGTCTGAATAGAAACAAAGAAAAACAAACATTGGGGAAAGGAATACACTCCAAAGCAACCCCACAAACGAAAGCCCACAAACTTGCGACGTATTATCAAGTCTTCTAAGGTTTTTCGGGATTCGACCTATTATCATTTGTGATGGAGAACCGATGGGTCGAATTTCAGTATTTTTCAGTTGCAATGTAGCCAACTGCTGATCGAAGGTCCCTCACCTGACCCATATAACTAACTTCCCTGGACAGCCACGTAATTGGCGCTCAAAACCTAAATTCGCCAGAAGTCATTTGATGCTACTTTGCTCCATTTTGGTTCAAAACGACCAAGCGTGCAGGGAACTAACGAAGCGCACTTTGCACAACGAATCAAGAGAAGCCTAAAGTGAAAAAATTTCGAAATGGTCAGACACTTCAGGCTGAAAGCCTAAGCAGTGGTTCACCAAACAGCACCAGTGCTCGCGATTCGCTTTATGAACAAAAAAGAAAAACCCGTACTGGGGCTTGGGGTAAACGTTTTGAAATCCGCGACCTTGGGGACGTACAGGGCAAATCGTTGGTTGGGGAATCCCCAACAGGGGGGTCGTAGTGAGTGCGGCAGCCAGTAACGAGCAGCGCAAATTGTCAATGTGCTGAGTCCTGTACAGCGAAACTTGCTTTGTAGAGAACTCGGATATGCAAAAAAATAGTACAAAACTTTCATTCATCAAACTAATCCGAAATAACTGCAAATATTAATAAGTCGACATTATCGTAAGTCCGTTGGTGACTAAACAGTACAACTCAAACTCTGGTTCGCTGCCAATGATATGGCGTGTCCGCGGTCGCGCTTGGCGCTGAGCCAACCTGTTTTTTTTCTCGACAAGCGACAGGACTACCATATCGTTCGTATAGACGTTTTCCAGCAGTTGGTCTCCTTTATCGGAGTCAGCAATTGGCGGAGCACGAATCTGGCAGCGTCGACAGGGACATGTTCCATCATACGCAACGGAAAACACTGTAAACAAGTGCACAGGTTCGCCATGGACCTCCCTGAATCCTATAGACACATTTGCTCGCGTGGACAGACATTACGCACAAGTTGCACCATCCCATCACTCTGCGCGGACCTCAGTGCGCGGCGCATCCAAAGTCAGCGTGATCGGCGCTAAACGAACCATATTCTGCTCCTGCTCCACCACAGGATACGTTTTTCATGCGTTCCTGGTTATTCGAACACGCTCACTTGAAACGGTACACAGGAAACGGGTTTTTCGCGCAGCTGGGAGTGTTCCCCAAGAAATCCCCATCGCGAGATCTCATGAATCCCGAGAACTTCAGAAACAGTTCAAGAGGTTTTTAGAAAGAGAAAATCTTCAAACACTCGAAACCGTTCTCAGATTTGTGAAATGTTGAGTTACAAAAAAAATATATTGATTCAAACCTGTTCAGTTGAAATCACTCCCCAACGAATCCCATGGCAGATTTCTCTGTGATTTTTGCGACCTTCATAAACGTTTCAGTACTTTTAGGAAGTGCAAACCTTCCTCTACACGAATACGGTCTCCTCTTCCCCACAGGTCCGCTTTTGAGGAAGTTATGGTCCTTCAAAGACACCCCACTTTGCTGAAAACTCGCGTTCCACATGGCTGGTCCTGCCCAGAATCCCTCCCCCGGTACCTCGGCCTTTAATCAGCTGATTGCGGCTAGTTTGCTCTCGTTCGTATTTACTCTTTCGTATTTATTAGTTGTCCCGGAAAGATTATTGAGAAAAAATTTCTATCATTGTGCCTTGATGATATGTAGCAAGCGAATTGCCCCGAGCACAAAGTCATAGCAACAAGCGCTATGAGAAAGAAGAAATGTTTGTAGATTTACCAACTTATTTGGTTGGTGTTATTCTCCATTGTTGTTATGAGTTGGCATTGCCCGAAAAATGTACGAGCTCACACACCTCCCAACGTCTTTTATTTCATCTTCACCGTTCTGGCTGCTTTATTGGTCAAATTGGGATTGAGGAACCGTATCCTATGCTGGATAGAACGCGCTTCAAAATCATCTCTACTAGGAGATCAATCGGCCTCTTACATGGAAATTTAGCTTAGATGTTTCGTACGTACCCTCACTCTCAGTACTCGCTTAGTTCTGGCTCCCGCGCAAGGTAATCCCGCCCAAAAGGTGAGGGAGATAGGTTGGACAATATTTATTATAACTATGAACCCCTACCTCCTCTTGTTGTTCATAGATGTTAAATGAGCTGGTTGAAATTTCTCAAAACTTTCCGGACACCCTAATATCTTCTTCTCGCTTTACTCGAATATCGAATATTTGTCTTCTTCTAGTTTACTCGAATACAAGAGCGCGATCCAGCAATTTTGCTTGGACCGCTCAGAGTGCTCTCAGGAGGAATTGGCTTGATTTCCTGTTTTTTTAATTGCAATTGATTTAGGTACCAGAGTTTGTTTTGACTCGAGGGAAGGTGGTGAAACCTAATGGCCTTTCTTTTCTATTCTCTTTTCTGAATTAGGATAGAAATGAGCAAAAAGCGAGGGGGCCTCATTCAGGATTGTTACTTTTTCCATTTTTCGCGCTTACTTATACATAAACTTATGAAGTTTCTTCCCTCGGGGGGGGGAGGGGGAAGAAACTTCATAAGTTTAGGTATGGGGGGTCGTACCGAACCCCCCAAAAGGGGGGTCGTACGGGCTTTACCAAAATCCCCATCCAATGCTGTGCCCTGGGGACGTATTTAGGAGCCGCTAGAAGGGCCCTAAATACCGTTGAGCACGCTATCCGCATCAAATTTTCGAGAAGGGATTTCAGTACAAATAATGTAGAACAGGCAGGCTCCACTGGCATCCTGTGCGACCGGCGGTGCTCGAGAACGCTCAAGGGCAAGGTGTACCGGGCGGGTAAGGCCTACAATGCTCTACGGCAGTGAGTGCTGGCCTATCTGCAAGAACCATGAAAGGCAGCTCCACTCAGCTGAAATGAGGATGCTGAGATGGGCCTGCGGCTGGACACGACTCGACAGAGTCAGAAACGAGGACGTCAGGGCGGTCACACAGACGGCTCCTATCCAGCTGAAGGCACGAGAGCAGCGACTGCGATGGTATGGGCATGTACTGAGGAGGCCTGAAGACCACCCAATAAGGAAGGCATTGGAATTCGAAGTAGAGGGCAAGCGACCACGAGGAGCCCCAAAGAAAAGATGGAGGGACGTCATCAAGAAGGACCTCACTGAAGTGAAAGCCACGGCAGAAGATGCAGTGGATCGGAACAAGTGGCGACGTCTAACAAGAACAGCGGACCCTGCGACGGCGCGGGACTAACGCTAGGGGAAGAAGAAGAACTAGGGGCTCAAAAACAATCGGTTTCCATAAGCTTCTTTTTCACTCTTTTTTTTATCATCCCACAAGCGTTCAAGAAAGATGAGCGTCGGTCTGATACTCCACGCAAACGACCACACATCGTGCGAAAAACCGTTTTCAAAAGGCGTTCAAAAGTCCTAAGAAGCGCTCTACGTCCTGTATGACCTCCCTGGTTAGAGGTATTCATTCTTTCATGGAACAAAAGACAATACGTGTCGGGAACACTTCAGTAGCAAATACGATTGCACGACCAAAGGTCTCGCTCGCTCTGAAGACTGCACCGCAAATGCAAACTAAAAATATAAAAAATAGTCTGAAATGCATAGAAAACACACATGGTGAATTAATTACAGTCGGTTCAGCCGGAGTCCTTCGGGCGGTGCCAGGAGTCGCGGAACGAGTTCTTTTGCAGCGTTTTCCACCACTGGTTGTTTTCTTTCAGTATTTCCCATTACTGGTAGAAAACGCAGCCGCTGACGTGCTCATTCCACTCCTTCTAGAACCGCCCCGCCGAACTACGACAACATCAACCATGTGTATTCCTCTATCAACTAGTAAATGAAGCATGATGTCGCATAATAGAAGCGTTTGATACAAGAAAGGGGCTTGTTTCTCAGTCTTCAGGTCAAAACTACGTTTTTCTGGTATGTTTGGCTATCACATGACAACAGCTTCTGATCGTGCTGTAGTGTTAACAACAAACGAGCGTGATGCTCTTGCGATCTATGAAGCAACTGATGGAGCTCTAGCGTTGTCACTCACGCATGGGGAACGTATGGATGCAAATGTATGGTGATACAGATATCCTGCCTTTTATTTTTTTCTCCGAAAATTGGTAAAGGAATCCACATCGATTTCAGGTGTTCCCATATTTAGAAGAATTTGAGCAAATTTTTCTATGGTTCCCCTCTCGTCATCTGGAATGCGCGAAGGAATGGGGATATGCGTTGAATGGCTCCCGATGTTATCTCATAAGGTTTTTGAGGATGTGCACATGGATCGACCACTTGTACTGGAAAGCCGCCACAGTTTTCAGAAATATCGAAAGACCAATCGAGCTGGTCCGCAACGGAAAGCATAATGAAGTAAAACACATTCTCAGTCGAGAGGCGGTTGGTTACACACTAGTGAATTATTTGTGAGGTACGGTTAATTTGTTATTAAAGGTACGCCTTCGCGAAAGGGGTTTCCGTTCGATGAATGACGTCCGTGCAGAAGTGAAGGCAGACTTGATAAACTCAAGTACTCGCCAACTAGGATTTGCACAGGTAAAATGAATATGCTGTAGAATCCTTCGAAGGGAACCATTGTCTCGTCAGATCATAGCAGAAGTAGTGCACAACGATGTAACCTGCTTTATTCTTCAAATACCTGGTCTTCTTCCCCCAGTGAATAACCTATTAGCGTGGACATTTAATCTTTATTGCCGTGTTCAACCATTTTGCGTTACCTGCACGTGAGAAGTGAAATTAGTGTGATCCCGTAACCTATCGTCCGTATCATTTCCCAGCTTGTTGGCAGAACTTTACAAGAATGCTCTCCATCTCCCCCCCCCCTCGCCCCTTTCCTCCCAAGGGAACAAATTTTCATCATCAAGCCTTTATTAAGTCTCCGCTCACAAGGCAAATGCCCGAGCCAACGTGTGCATGCGGCTTTCAACTCTGAGGGGTGCGCTAAGATGGCTGCAGGATTGGAAAGAACAGCGGTTCCTCCATAGGTTCGAACGTCAATGGTTTACCCTGCGTGATCTCAGTGTTCCAACGTCAAAACAGAACTGCTGTTCAGGAAGGTTTTGATCAATATTTTAGAATATTCAAGGAATCCTGTCCTGACAAACCTCAATGCTGTTTCTTATTATAGTCAATGGGATCGGAACGTGGACCAGCTTCATATGGCAGGATAACGCTTGCTTTCTTCTTCATAACTCCTGACCATATTTCACAACTCAGATGCACGTGAACAAGTGGGTCGGCGAGATAGCTCTATACCGGGCCGGATCAAGCTTTCACGTCGCAGAATCCGCAACGAGGGATTGCATTTGACTTTCTCGGGAGAGAGGTGTCGCGCTTGCGGAGATCAGTACTTAATTCAGCATGGACTTAGTTTGCATGGATGATGCCTTCGGAAAGGAAGTCGATACATAGCGCATCCCGTGGAAGTTTCAATCAGCTCCCCTGTGCTGCAGGTATGAGCGAAAGGTGTACGAGGGCCTACCGAGCTTTCTAGATGGAAATGTGGGCTTTGCAGAGGAGATCCTCAGCTGTAGCTGGAGCTGACTTTCGAATGAAAGTCCGCGACGAGCGAGTTTCTGCTATATTGAAGCTACAG